AGGCTCTCCCCCCCTCTCCCTTCCCTCCTCCTCCCCACCCCCTCCTATGTTATAATGGCAAGGTCCACGCTGCATAGTAGGTATCGGTGTCGTGTGCAGCTTATGTTCGTCAGCGACTTGTGTATAGAGAAGGTATTTTTGTCATAAAGAAAAAAAAGCGATGTGCATAAATTATATATCGGATAAATATTGATATGATAAAGCGGATAATCGTAAAGTGTTATCATGTATTTAATTGAGGATGTAGAGGGCGCCACGTACTGGGTGTCCCGCCAGAGGGCGCCACGTACTGGGTGTCCCGCCAGAGGGCGCCACGTACTGGTCGCCTCGCCAGGTGATACGTACAGCCGTCTCGGGGGCGCCGGTATATTTGAGGTGATTTGCACGCAGACACTTGTTTTGACATGGCGTCGCTCGTGACGTCTCCTGTTTGCGCGTGCGCGTTAAACGTTCTCTTGTTTCATATTTGGTTGCCATGGCGATGTTCCCGATCTGGCTTCCCTGTGTGACCGCATTGCACGAGAGCACATGGGAGGAGTCTGAAGGCAGGAAATCCATCGAGGAAGAAGGGAGAAGGGAAATCAGAAAGGGAGAAGGAAGATAAAAGAGGTGTTCTTGGAGAAAGGGGAGTTTTGTGAAGGAGGGGGGGGGAGAAAGGAGTTTGGAGAAGAAGAGAGTAAGAGAGTTTTGAGCGGGAAAGAGTGCAGGAGGGAGGTGTAGAGATTAGAGCCAAAGAGGAAGGTGGAGAGGTAGGAGAGAGTAGAAGGTAGGTGGAGAGGGAGGGGAGATTAGAAGGTAGGTGGAGAGGTAGGATAGAGTAGAAGGTAGGTGGAGAGGGAGGGGAGCAGGAGGGCGGTGGAGAGAGAGGAGAGCAGGAGGGAGGATAGTATGAGGGAGGTGATAAGAAAAAAAGCAGGAAGGCGGTGGAGAGGGAGGGGAGCAGGAAGGCGGTGTAGAGGGAGGGGAGCAGGAGGGTGGTGAAGAAAGAGGAGGGCAGGAGGGATGCAGAGAGGTAAGCAGGAGGAAGGTAGAACGCAGGGTAGAGAGGGATGATAGTATGAGGGAGGTGGAATGCAGGAAGGGGTGGAGAGGGAGGAGGAGGGCAGGAAGGAGGTGGAGATAGAGAACCGTATGGGGGGGGGGAGATTGAGGGGGAAACAGAGAGCCGTAAGGAGTTTTGAAAGCCAGGACGGTGAAGAGGTAGCAGTGGACAGTTAAAATGGCGTTCGTGCACGCGCGCGTGCGCTGGCAGGGAGGCGGGAGGCGGGAACATTGTAATGATGGCAGCAGATGGGAGTGTGAGGGCATAGAGGGGTCAGATAGCGGCCGCTGGCGCCACCTATGAAGAAAAAACAACAACAAAATGTTCGCGCCGGCGGTCGCTTGTAGAGCGTCTTCAACGGGCAATTATTTATACTATTTATATTCGTCGTCGGCTAGTTGTGCGCGTAGGTCCGCACGAGGGCGCCACCGTCGCCCTGATGTCGGCTAGGGGGCGCCACCATCTTCGCGATCGTTTAATGTGTTTTGTGTCCGTTTCGTTCTCGGGATCGATTTTTCGTATTTTAATTTCCTCGTTTCATTTTTCTCTTCTTCGTCCTCTTCGCCGCATTTTTTGCACATTGTGTTCATACGTTGTGAGAGAATGTGAGTTTTTTTATATATATATATATATGTGTGTGTATGTATGTTGCCGCGCATGCGCGATAGCCGCGGCTATTGTACGTTCATCATATTACGAGAATAAACGTGAGGGACATGTACACGTCCGCTAACTCATCACGTCATCTGTTTCTGCGTACACGTCATCACTATCCGCGCACGCCGCGTTGAACTTCCGCATTTTCGGTAGGAGAAAAATTCACGGAAACAGGAAACAAGGCGGAATGGAAGTGGAAGCGAAGGTAAGGCCAAAACAAAATATATGTGTGGTTACCGTTTCATGCCGAAAAAAAATAGGGTAGGTAGGTAGGGAAAACATTTTGTTTTATTGAAACATTTTATTTACGAACCATGTCCGACGGATGTGCGTTGTGCCTTTTGAAGCAGGAACTGTCCAATTCATTTTTTATTATTTTTTTAATATTTTTTTTTACTTTAAAGAAAATTGACAATAAAATGTTTAGGGTCGCTGGGAATAAATAGGGTCGGTCGGGAAATGGTAACCACACCTATATTTTGTTTTGGCCTAATGGAAGCGGGATGGCGCGCATTGATGTGTTATGAAGTCTTTCTGACTCTGTCACTAAGAAGTCTGTCTATGAAGAGTCCTTGTCTGCAGCGCGCGTTACTCCGGCAGGCGGGCGCAAAGATAAAAATAGTAAGAAATAAATAATAATAAATAATTGAAGCCTCGGAATAAAACTATAACAGCAGCAACAGACAGACAAACAGTTTTGCACAGCTCGGAAAAACAGTTGATTTTATTGAGTTCACGATAAAGCGTAATCACTGGAACCGAAACTTCCCGCAACATCACGTGACTGCGACAAGTGAACGTTCGAACTGATGAGAGATCGTGCGCGCCGTAACGCTTCGTCGCTAGGTGGCAGCACCTGCTCTGCTAGAGTCGACTAGTGCGCTACCACGCCGCGCATCTCGACGCGTTTCAAAACGGTGAACAAGTGAACAGCTTTACGATCGTATCATTAAGGTGAACAAGTGAACAGCCGTACGATCGAGTTTTAGCGTGAACAAGTGAGCAGCCGTACGATCGTGTCAAAGAACAAGTGAACAGCCGTACGATCGCGGTCTAGCATGAACAACTGAGCAGCCTTAAGATCGCGTTCTAGCGTGAACAACTGAGCAGCCTTGAGATCGCGTCGAAGAACAAGTGAACAGCCGTACGATCTCGTTCCGGGAACAAACAACATGGCGATCATCTTGGAGGCGTCTGCGACGGTGCGGCTAAACTTCCACGCCAACCGACCGCCGCAGCACTACAACCAACTTAGCAACCGCCGCCGCGTAGGGTTCTCCCCGTTTTTGTACGTCTGAACTTTTGTTTCGATGGCTGCCACGAGGTGGCGCCACGCACTTTTTTCCGCGCTGAACGAGTTGCATTGGTAACCGCCGACACAGACGCCGACGGTGTTTCCATGGCTACAGACGCCGCGATCACATGATCGCGTGCCTTCACGACCGCGCGATGCCGACGCCGAGTGGGCACGCCCCCTGGTGGGAGCGGTGTGATGTTGGCGGCGTCGGGGCGGTGGTCGCGTTTCGGAAGCCGTGCGATTGCGATATAAAATCCGATCTCGAATCCGTTTTATAGGTTCAACAAAAAACAACATGAAATCATAACATGACACATTCTCGTATCGCCCCCCCCCCAGTCACCATCATCATCATCACCAACATCACCAACATCATCATCACCAACATCATCATCATCATCGTCCTCGCAACAACCGTCTCGATAAATATTATTATTACGATAATAATTATTATTATTATATTAATCAAAAACCAAAACGATCTCGGCACCTCGTTATATGCGTAACAATCCCTCTCATGCAAAGCGTTGCTAGTGTAGCACCCAACATGCAGGCAGCAGCGCCATCTACCGCAACAAATATACACCAAAGCAAAGCTGGGCTCAAACCATCATCACAGTCCTATTAACCAATGGGAGCCGATCATCAACTTTGCTTCCACATGTAGACATAACAGTGGTGTCTTTCACACACCCTCCCCTCCCCTCTCCCCTGAACCGAAACGCAATGAAGAAGAAATCCTACAGCTACCACTAACAATGAAGTCTACGGTTCCATTTTTCGGGAAACAGAAAAAAATCCCGAATCTTAATGTACAACATATAGTACTAGTAGGCCTAAGTATAGAGTCACTACAAAACTTTAGCAACAATATGTCTGCCTACGTCACATCATCACAAAACTACAAACCTTTTTAGCTCGCGTCTAAATTCTCGCAAATCGCGTTGATTTACAAAATAACATTAAGTAATTAATAATTATTATGCCGTTGGTGAATTTCGAAAAAAAACGGCAATCGTTTTTAACAGTTTTTTTCGTATATTTTTTTTTTGGTATATTGTTCGCGCGCGACATCTAGCGTCGGCAATAGAAACGAAATTACGCGTCAATTTTTAACACTAAAAAAACCTGTTTCCGCGATATATACACAGAATCTTAGATCACGTGACTAGAATATAATGCGCTCTGCTAGAACTTCCCCCAGTTGTCTTCCTTCCGTTACGAGAAAGAAGAAGAAACACAAGACAAACTAAAACGACTAAATGCGCAGAAAAATCAACAAAAAAACATGGCTGAGTACGTTATTCCGGTTGCCACGACGACGGTGTTGTGCTGCCGTCGCAGTCACGTCTGCGTTTATGTAGTAATATAGCAGTAGTAGTAGTATTAGTAGTAATAGTAGTAATTTAAATACGAGGTTTCCATAGATACGCGTGCATACCTACTCGCATCAGTGATGTGTGTTTACACGAGCGACCTCTAGCGGCCGCAATAATCGCGCGCTCGGTCTCTCGCGGCCGCTAGGTGGCGCCGCGAGAGTTGGGTTTTTTCTCGGGGCGCTCGACTCAGAAGTCCGTGAATCCTCCGGCATCGTTGTGAGGCGCCACCTGGTGGTAGGAGGGTACCTGCTGCTGCTGCTGCTGTTGCTGCTGCTGCTGCTGCTGCCGCCGTGGCTGTGCAGGCTGTGGCGACGCGGCCATGCCCTGCTTCGGCGGCCATGTTGCCTGGCGACCGGGCGTCACCTGCACGTGTACGCTCTGCTGCTGCTGGTGAGTCTTGTGGTAGGACGACTCCTGCGGGGCGGGGCGAAGATACAGCGTCATCGTTACCATCGTCATCATTGTTA